CAGGGACCTAGCCTTTAACCTGCTGATTTTCATAAATGGATCTTTCCCGGTTACAGTATTGATACAAGTAACTACATATGATCAATTTTAGGGACATCAAGATAAAAATTTTGAGGTAGTTAGCAATAGTATATGATAATTGATTTGTGGCAAAGTCTTGTTTAGATTTTAGAGTGTTCATTTGCATTGTCATTTTTTTCTAGTCTTGTTTCTATATATTTATCACTGAGGTTTTTAGAATACAGCTTTTTTGTTTCGTTTCATATTTAAATAATGCGTATATAAAAAAATTGGTCAAAATTTAAGTACGAAACATTAAAATCACCTTTTGAAGTAAAACGAAAACAAGATAATTTTAATTAAAATTCAACTTTTTATTAAGCTACTGGTACTTGCATTGTCTTTGAAATGAGATGTAATTCAAACAGTGAACTAGATAATCTCAGTGTATGTTAATTTTAGCTCAAGTGTAAATGTTAGTTTATTTATTCGTGAATTTGTTATTAGATCATATATAGATGAGAAATGTTTTGTTTAATTTGTTTGATTCCGTCCTTGTTTATTTCTGTGCATTATGTTAACATACAAATTTTTGTATAATTTTTTTTTCTGCTTATTTTGTTTTTAGATAATTGTTTAGTTTACACGTCTTTAGTTACATAAATGATCTTCTTTATATATATTTATTCCAAAACAGAGCTACTTTGCTTCTTGTTACAATCAGTATAAGGAAGGATAGGAACGAAAGGCAAAGTTCTGTGGAATTCATTTCCTATTACATAGATATACTAATTATGTAGATTATAAGAATCTTACACCGGCTGCCGGTACAGACCGGAATATCTAGCTCGAGGGTGACTGTTTACGGCGGTAACGAGGCTCTGCCGAGTTTCCGCCGTAAACAGTCACCCGAGAGCTAGATATATTTCTGTCTAATTTCTGCCGGTGTTTGATTCTTTTTCTTGCATATAACATATCAATTATTTTCAAGCAGAAATTACAAAAACGGATATTCTCATAACGCACTTTTTACTTATAGTAGCGTATGAACTGACAATTTCATTCATAACGGTTAAGTGACGTCATCCTAAGAACGCAATTCATTCATAAAAGGCTCGCGTCAATGACGTCATTTAAAACATGGGGTGTGTAAGATAGAGTTTTCTAATACCAGTGTAAACGGTTGATAATCCTGTCTGATATGCAAGAAATACTATGCTCATCTTTGAGTAAAATATTTTTATCGGAGAAATTTATTAAAACCTATGAAATTATTAGTTAATATGTCTCATTTAAATAAAAAAAATGAATAATAAACTATATCTGAAGTCACGTTCTCTAATACATGACAAGTAAAGTTGATCTTTTCTTTAAAAAACTGCCAGTTTTTTTAACGACACTATATATTCATCATGTGATGACCTATGTGTGTAGAGTTTTAAACATGAGATATTAACTTTGTATGAAGTCAAAACATGTTTATTTCATATTTACAAAGATACTGTTAAGCAATTATCAATATTTTCTGATATCAAATTTGAATATAGTATATTTATAATTAAATATCTTATAACATGTCATCTTGTATCTTAAAACATGTCATCTTGTATTTGATGACATCAATATAATTAGTTTAGAAAGGATAAGATGGAAAGGCAAAGTTTTGTAGAATTCATTTCCTGAAATATCTTGACATGTTTTTGGTATGGTATTTGATAAGCCAAATAGATATTCATAAACAATATTTTATAAAAAAAAAAAAAAAAAAAAAAAAACAAGACAAGGGTGTTTTTGTGCATGTTACCATTTTAAAACTGCAAGTTTTTTATCGTTACATTGTCAGTTAATGTGATTGTCTATGTTTAATGAGGGACATTCAGCTTGTTAAAGCACAAAAATAGCTTTCCTTAACATGTGCTTACCCCTGTACCATAGTGATAGAGACAAAAAAGTGTTAAATACTTCTTATGCTGTGCGTTAATTTACTGAGGGTTGTTTGTAAACTAGAGATTCTTATCACAATAAACTTGACAAACTAATATGTAGTAATTTTCTCATACAAGGGGAGATAATTTACTGTTATCAGTTTATTATACATTTAACTTAATGAAAGAAATATCAGGTATGAAGAAAATATAAATAATTTCATAAATTTTTTTTTATCATTGATTTGTTTTTTAATTAAATAATGAAATTCAATAAAATACAAATTCTGCAATACAATGTTGTTTTCTTAGGTAGTACTTTAACCTGATTGTCAAAGTTAATCTTTAATTTATTTTTCGTTTTTCATGAAAACAGTATGAATCAGTCTTATTTAGTTTCTTTTCATTCCTTGAACAATGACAACATCATTATGAATATTGTCTTATCACATTTATTTCTTACATAATTTTATATATGCCACTTAAAATAAAAAAGTTACAAGATGATGAAATTCAAGTTGTTTTTTGTGTGATATAAGAGATCAAATATTTTACTCCCATAGAAATCTCAAAATAATTGTACAATGTCAGTTTCAGTACTTTGTTAGACTGCTCAATGAAATACAACAGTAAATACAACTGAATCTAAATGCAGTCTCATCACTAAAGCAAAAAAGAGGTATTGTTACAGTCATGGCGGCATTTCTGTTCCTGTTGCAGTCACCAAAATTTTAACATTGATCTCTACTTTTTAAGTTTTCAGTTAATTGTCTTCGGACTTGGCCTTCACAAGCTTTAGACTAGACAAGCACACCAGACTTAACTTGACCTTCGTTCATAAATGACCTTGACCTTCAATGTTAAATGTTAAAATTTTGATGATTATGCTTTGATCAGCTATAACTTTATTTCTGAATGGATTGCCTTCAAACTTTAATGCAACAATCTTTTAGAAGAGGCTTTCAACTAAATCAGACAGACCTTGACATTCACTCATAAATGACCTTGACCTTGAAAGTCAAATTTTTTTACTGTAACTGGCTAAAACTTTGTTATTAATGAATACATTGACTTCATATTAAGACATTATATTGGCAAGGATAAGACCTTAATGCATGTCAAACACAATTGACCCTTAAATCCTTTGCTCATTTATGGCCTTGACATTGAAGGTTAAATTATTGAATATTCACTAATTTTTGTCGCGTCCTCTTGCAAAAACGCTTGACATAGTTGTCACAATGGCCATTGGGTATATGTATGTGCACGAGTCCGTGTGTATGTTCTTCGGTCAGCCTAGATTATGTTTGTTCGGGCTTTAACTCTTTCATTTGTTGGCAGAATTTGAAATAACTTAGCACAAATATTCACAATTATGAGATTGCGTATCATGGGAAAAACGATTACTTAGGTCAAAGGTCAAGGTCATAAAGATCCAATGCAAAAAATGGTCTAAAGAAGATTGTTCTCACCATATCTCTATCACTAGCTGGTGGAATTTAAGATAACCTGGCACAAATGTTCAACATCATGAGATGGCGTGTTGTACGCAAGAACCATGTTGTCAGAGGTCAAGGTGATATTTTAAGGTCAAATGCAGCAAAATGATTTCAAACAGCTTGTCCGCACCATTACTGTATCACTAGCTGGTGAATTTAAAAAATCCTTGCACAAATATTCAACATCATGAGACAGCCTGTTACACAATAGAATTTTAAATATATATCTCAAGGTCAGATGTGACAGCGGGTTTTACATGTTGCCCTAGTTGCTATAATTGACTGTAACTAAGTAATAAGCAAATTCGTTATCTTCATACTTGGACAAAACAACTTTTTGGACAAGACCTTCTTCAAGGCTGAACTGACCTTGAGCTTGAAATAACCATGACTGCCAAGGTCAAATAAATGGAATTTTATCAAATGGTCATAATTTTGATATTAATGAACATATTTGATTTATACTTAACCTTTTCCCTCATATAAGTGTGTTTCGACGGCTTTTTGCCCCCCCCCCTTTTGAGGCCTCATACTGTGAAAAAATGTTGTTAAAAAAGTGACCACTTTTTCGGCGCCGTCTCCCATGAAAATGTTACATCAGGGGGTTGCCAGAAGGGGATGTGCCCCCTTCTGTTTTGGGAGTTTGAAGGGGGCGGAGTCCCCCTCATCGCCAAGAAAATTTTGGATATGTGACAGGCTAAAAATTTGTGCCAAGTTTCATCAGTATTGAAGCATTTTTCATAGTAGTTTGAGCTTGTTACAGGAGGCTTTTCAATGAAAACGGCCATTTTTCGCAATATGCTCATGGGGTAAAAGGTTAACCAAACAAGATTTGTGAACAAAAATGAATGATTTAGATGTGACATTGACCCTACTTGACCTTAACCTTCAATGTCGAATTAATGAAATTCCCCTTCTTTCCCCTAAATCTATGACATTTGGACCATGTTGACATTATTTGATTAAAAAAATGATTTCAAATTACCTTGACAATTTGACAAAGTGACCTATTTTCTTTTCTATGAAATTTGGACCCTGTGCACAGATTTAGAAGTCAAACTGAATTTTGATATCAGCTATCCTAGATTTTGAGGAAGTGACCTTTTTTCTTGTCCTTTGGAGTACAGCTATGAAATGTGGACAGTGTGTACAGTTTCAGATGTAAAATTGGTCATTGAACATTACGGAGATTGTTCATACTCTTACAAAACAATAAGTGTGAATAGAGCTACATATTGATCTTGAAAATTGAAAAACTAACTTCTTTTTCTTTAATTTTCTTTTTTTAAAGATTTTTTAAACCATTTGTTTTCAGACAAGTAAAAAAAGTTTAGCGTTGCCCCAGCTCGGCGATGGCTCTTGTAATTCACAATTTCACTATAAAAACGCGTTTGCCATCATAGTTATCAATTTTAAATGTTCTTGGTCATTTATATCTTTCATATTTAGATTACTTGAGACATTTAATGATCACTATTATTAGACGATGTAAGGAACACAACAACCGAGTTGCTTCACCAAAGGTCAAGGTCACTCTTAAAGGACAATGTAAGAAAGCATTGTGTGTTGGCTTATAACTTTCTAACTAATGAAGTTTTTAAACTAACTTGCCACAAATGAGCAACATTATGAGATGATGTTCAGAGCGTGACAAGTAGTTTATTTACCGCAAGGTCAATGTCACTGTATGAAAACTCCCGAAAACGTCTTTAATGCTGTCTTAAAATTAAAAGTAAAAAAGAAGAATGAAAAAAAAGCATATATTTTAATACATAAAGTTTGATACACACTAGCAGATTATGATTATTGAAAATTCAAGTCTTAATACTGTCTTATTTTGACTCCATTTTATTGGCCACCCAATAAAGCTGAAAATAGTTAACATATATGTAAGATTGCTACATTATTTCTTGGCAGATTGTCCTTGTTCAACACTCATTTAAACTCTTCTTTAATGAAACACATCATATTTTTAGCTTGGCATTAAAAAACAAATTTTTGTTACAGTCATGTTGGCTTTCCTATACCCATTGCTGTTATCTCGATAGTGCCGTTGCCATTGACTGAAAACTTAATTGTTGATCATAACTTTCATGTGAAATTGTCATCTTTTTTAAAAGTCTTTTGACACCCAAATGTTAATTCAAATGTTCAAAGTCAATACAACTTTGTCATTCTTTCACTTTAACATGCTGAATGTTATATCAAAATAATGCGTGACGAAAAGAATGATGACAGGTCTATATATCAACATTTGATATTTTATCATTTGAATCAGTGAAGTCTTCATACTTTCTGTTTTGACATCAATTTATTGCCTAACATGCTGGAAAAGAGCTTACATATATGATTCATTTAATTGCCTAACTAATATGCTGGAAATGAGCTTACATATATGTATGCTTGCTACATTGTTTCTTGGTCTTCCTTTTAGAGAACGCAGGTAGCATTTAAATGCATAATGAGGTTTGTTTTCTTGTTCCATACACTGTCCTAAAATGTTGAGAGCTGTTTCTCTATGTCCAAGATCTTTATCTGTTACTATTGTTCTTATAAGTTTGCAAAGTGCTTGTCGTTGATCTTGAATCCTTTGAAGATGACGATATACCTTATATTGTAAGAAGTACAGGAAAGGTAGAGAGTCAATTACGGTCCAGTCCTTCATATAGTCTCTACACTGATTTCTGTGTGGTATGTCATTTTGTGTAGATCGGAGCATTTCATATTGTAGTTCACGAGGAACACAGTTGCTCTCTTTCTGTATAAATCTGACACAAAAAGCTGTAATATGTTTGATAAGGTCCTGGCCTTGCTCACTAGATGCTCTCATTAATTCTGCTGATACTGCTGCTGGTGAAGTCCAATGCCAGCAGGCACAGATAGGTACAACATGATAAGAGTAATATTGTTGTTCAGTGTGTCTCAGAATTAGTTCAGCTCTGTCAATATCTTCTGTACTGTAGAACACTGAAGCCAATTTCAGTCTGCTAGATGAGATATCTGAGTTTAAACCAGCTGATAACCAAACCAATGCTTCATGTGACACTTGATTATTTTCAGCAATGCTGGAAGATGCCAGAACAGATCCATATGTGGTACACAGAAGTGGTTCTAGAAACTTGCATGTAGCCTGTTCTAATCTATTACCATGATCACTGAATGTCATAAGTTTACCTACAGATTGCATCATTGTTCTAATGCTTTTATCGTGTAAATGATCTAAAACTTCCTTATGACTTCTACTTATAGTGTATGCTGTGTTAAAATATTCTCTAAGCAAACAAAATTCATTTGTTTCAATAGAAGATTGAAAATAGTATACTCCATGTGGTACCCTATACAGTTTAACTTGCAGTCTATGACCAAGATCATCAATATCAATGCTAAATAACATTTGTCTGACATTCTGTAAAAGGTAACTAATACGCTCTAAAAGTTCATGTTTCTCTTCGGCTGTAAATCGCCCTGCCATCAAATTGTTTTCTTGAATAATGAAATGTGAACAACTGTCATTCTGTACACAAGTGTGTAATTCTAATAAGCAATATGTTAAACATGTAGACAGATTTTCCGCATTCCATATACTTAGCTCTGTGTTTTCTACACAATGTAATAGAACTGTTTTACACATGAAACTTGATATGTTGATTTCCCCTTGAGGATTAAGGAAGGATTTAAGAATTATTTTCAATAATACATAGCACCTAGTTTGTGTTATATTTAGACTAAGTATAAGGCACCTTTCTGCCAATGATGTAGATATTCTCCATTCAAGTTCAGGATATCGACTGACCTTACTTCCAACTGGAACAACAATACACCCAGTACTGGCTGCATATCTTCTCATGTCTTGTGTTGGCCATCTTCTAATACCTTGTCTGTCTAACCAACCAGACGCTGATTGAAGCCATGATTTACAATGAAAAACTGGCACATGGTCTATATCACTGATTCCATGCTGTCCTGGTATAGCATTTGCTGGTCCATGTCTTACAGCACCCAGAATGGCCCTATCAAATATTGTGTTTTTTAACAATATTCTTCCACTTCTATCAGTTATATGTTGTTCATTAGGAATGACAGTGGCAGGAAGAGGTTCATCATGTCGGAGCAGTTGTAAGAGACAATACCCGGGAGAAGTGTTCTCATCCTGTATCATGAGGTAGTTTCTCTTGCCATGTTCCCACTCTGACCAGTCTTGTATTATATTGCAATCATCCATACAGTATAGTACATCAATTCCTGAATCAAGTCCTCTAGTAGTTGTACTTTCACTCTGGCCACCTAGATGATATTTAGTTATATTTGTATCAGTTAACCTGTCAGTGATATTCCACATAGTCTCATTCATCATGCGATGTTTTCTCCTTGTCATCACCAATCTTTCATTGACACCAATGTCATCTAAAATCTCTGATAACGCCAATGATAGGTTTTCTCTGTACTCAGGTTCTTGAAACATTCTGTAATATGAATAAAGTGAACATTGTTTAACTCATTCACCAACTTTATTTTATTCAATAATTCTACTTGTAACGTACTTATTCATTATTTTCTAGAACAGAACAGAATATAATATCTACAGTACATATTTTTATTTTTTAGTATATTTGATAACAGGAAATTTTACTTACTTAACTTAACTTAAGTTATGACTTATAGACATCTACATTTTGTATTAATAAGTTTAATATTTTTTCTTTATTTATTTCTTCTTTATTATTTTGCCAGTCGTAGATAAATTATAGGTAATGTTTTTTTATTTCTAATTATTTAAGCTGTTTCTCAGTTTTTCATCTTAAAATTTGTTTTTTTTAAGTGAATTTTCCACCATTGGCTCTCCTTTATAATTTTGTTCCTGTGATTCTTGAAAAGTCTATTATTGTCATTAAAAAAAATATCAAAGATACATATTAAACTCACTTTAAATATATTATCAGGAGTAAATGGAGGATATTCAAGTTTTTTTCTATAAATACATGATTTATTTTCATTGTGTGGTATGAAAATAAATATTTCATGAGTGGCAGTAGCCACGAGTGAAATATGGTAATTTTCATGCCACAAGATGAAAAGAAATCATGTATTTATAGAAAAAAACTTGAATTTTCTGTTTATTTTATACATTTTTCTCTATCTGAACAATAAAATTTGCAAGACTTTCCCTTAAATTTTGAGTACTGGCAGACTTTAAAAGAAAGTAGTCCGGTAAGACACCAGTGAAAATACGGAAAATATGTTTCACTGCAGTGAAAAACATTTTTACAGTGAAAATACGGAAAATGAAAATACGCGTTTTATTTCATCAATATTGCTCAATATTTCATTTAAAAGTATATAATAAATTGAATAATGTCCCTAACAATACTTTATGTTGTTTGCATATTACTCTTGTTTAATGCTTAAGTTTAAACATATTTATTTTAGGTCGATTGTTGCAACTTATATTAATCACTTTCGAGTCCGCTTCTTGGAACCAACCAGTACTGGTGTCATATGAAGAAATATGGTCCTGACCCGAGTAGGGCTCGAACCCATGATCTCTGGGTTGAGAGGCAGACACCTTAACCACTAGGCCACCGCTCCCCTTAAAAGCTTTAAAGCAACATACCTCTAGATTCATATTAAATTTCATGAAAAATTTGAAAATATCTATCTTTTTAAAGCTGCATGCCTCCAGATGAGTCAAAATATTTCAATAAAATCAAACTTGAGAAATATGTACTGCGATTTAAGGAAACGTAAAATGATTCCAGATTCAAGTAATATTTTACATGTTATGTGCAGTTAATGACTGATTTTTTAGTATTTACAACTATATTAATTCCTACTGCGTTTACTAACGCAGTAAAGGCTATTTATGCATATTTTGACCACTTTTTTGTAATTTACATGGCTTGTAAGTGCCATTGATGTGTAAAAAGCTTCCTTTTTGGTTATATCACAATATTATACATTTTCAAAATTTTCATGAAAATTAGCATGAATCTGGAGGCGTGCTGCTTTAAGTGAAGAAAGTAATTAACTAATTGCAAACGGTACTTACAATCCAGGTTAATTACAAAAAGTGTCAAAATATGCAAAATAGCCCTACTGTAACTAAATACTAGATCTATCTAACATTTTACATTTATTAATGATATATTCTTACTTTGATATGAATGTGAAACAATACTGAGAATGTACAAACCACAGGTGCTAGTGGCATTGATTTGACCTAAAATGTGTTTGACCTTGTTATTTATACAATAAAATATCAATATATTAAAAAAAAAAAAAAAAAAAAATATTATTATAGACTATAATAATATAACAGTGAAAAAAAAATTTTTTTTAATGTTTTTTTTTAATATATTGATATTTTATTGTATAAATAACAAGGTCAAACACATTTTAGGTCAAATCAATGCCACTAGCACCTGTGGTACAAACAAATATTTAACTTACTTTGAATATGGGATTCAAATGTCATGAAAAATTTTGTTTCTGATTAACAGGGTCGTTGGAAATTTTACTATTTTTACTTCCTCTTTCGGTTTTCACAGTGCATTTCCACTTCCTGTTAATATAAATGTTAATTGAATTGTGCCCCTTTATTATACTATCTTACATGCATTAATTATATTTTCTTATTTTAATATTAGTCAGTTCTTTCATGTTAAAATATTATTAATTTTAAATTACGTTAAATGCTGGATTGAATATCAAGAAAAAATATTTCTTTCTTAACTTCCTCTTTTGTTTTTGAGGGGAAATAAAGGGTACGTTACGATACCGAAAACAACTTGATTTCGGTAAAGTTACCGAAATCAACTTTTCATTACCGAAATCAACTCGTAAAAACCAACCTAGTTAAAATATTGCTACTATTTCTTCATTATTTGATGAAAAATAGTGAAATACACTTTCAGTTAAAAAATCTATTGAAAATATTTTATTTTAATGATGTTATTAACAAAAATGTAATTATTGAGTTACTTCCCTTTGTTATAAACAACCCTGTTGTATTATGGGTATATTTATTAATATGTACAATCAGATTAGGAAAAGTGTCAGTTACGTAATTCCGACTGAGAGCATCTCCAAGCGGAATATCTTGACCTCTACAGTGAATAACATCGAGGTCAAAATCTTGAAGTTGTAATAACATCCGTTGTAACCTAGGCGGGGCACTATAGACCCTTTCATTTAAGCGATAACAGTCAGGGAAGAGTTACTTCCCTTACCGGATGTGACGTAAATGGGGGATAAAACTATGCAGGCCGCATATAATGTTAGCTTATTGTAAAGCTAAATGCGTAAATACTGATCGTTCAATTATGATTTTAACATGTAAAAATTTATGCATGCATACATAAATTCAATATTAAGACAATAGGCAAAAATACAAAAACAAAGATTGAGATTAATTCTCGCTACGGAGTGAAACAGCGAAATTTCAAAGGGAATATATTTATTAGATCTAGATTTTCTCTAATGCCAAGAATAAAAAGCTAGTAACTAAATCAAATTTTAATATTCTATAAACACCCATACACACTGAAATTGCCTATTATAAATTTAAATGGTCATTTTCTAGTTTTCTGTTTTTAGAAAATTCCGGCGTATTTGTGAAAAACATGAAAATAAGATTGCCAATGACTTTTAATGATTGTTTTTCAAGCTTTAATAGAACAATAACATAATGTATTCTGTCAATATTTACTGATTCTTTTTCATTGTGCCGTATAATTTTTTTTCAAAGAACCAGTGAGGGATATAAATTTCTAAATATTCCGGAAAGAACGAAAACCATGTGGCATTGACTTATGATATAATTTTAGATTCGCAACAGACGATAATAAGATAATTTTGATATTAAAAATCTATTCTTATGGTTATAAAAATAAAGACCTTTTCCCAGTAACTTATTTCATAGATAAATAGATGTGTGTATATAAGCGCCACTGGGCCGTAACATTAACAGGGTGCATATGTTGTATATACAAGCGGCACTTGGCTGTGATATCATAAATCACCAGGGTGCATTTTTTTAGAGTTATAACATTACATCAGATTATGTCACTTTTGTTAGTTGTCAAAATATTTATGGTCCGAATTTTGTTATGGATCATCCTAGGGACTTTATTGGTCATGCCTTACTGATTTGATACTCGATCCAGAGTCCTACCAACTGGCACAGTCAAAAATACGTAAAATTATAATTCAGTTAATAACGAATTTCTGTGAACGTGTTTCACAACTTGTTTTTTGTGTGTGTGTGTGTTTTTTTATAAATATTTGATAAGCAGAGTGTAAATTAAAAAGTATCAATTTGAAAATATTACTTTATCACCTTAAATATATTGGTGTGATGTACGATTTTTTTGAGAGTGCAGTAGTATATACAGTCATGTACATTCAAAAGAATTTTTACTTTTTATGCCTTCAATTTTTTTTTTTTTGAAATTACATAGATTTATATTGTTGATTTTCTCTGTCTTAGTAATGCTTAAATCAAAATGATTTTTTAATAAACCAGTATCTTACAATTACTTATTACGCAACCGTTTTTCGAAACTACATTTTTGAAACTCAAAATATCTTTTGGGTATTGTATATTAGCAGAGACATAGATACACTATCTATATCCCTGGTATTAGCAAGGTAGTACGATTTAACTGCCTGGTAAAATTTTCATTATTAAGAATCTAACGAAAATGGTAATCATGATCAGTTACCCAGCAATATGGTCTACCATTTAAACAAATCGTTAACCTTATTATAGTATACATTTTATTCATTTCACCATCTTTTTTATGTAAAATCTTATTCAATTAAACAAACTTTTCGCAATTTCAATCTGCCAATCGTACAAGAGAAAGGATATATATCCCTCTATTATTGTACTTATCGTAACGGCATTGTCCACCGTATCCCCCAATGACGTCATCCAAGGGCGACAACTTGAATACGGTCTTAAATGAAAGGGTCTATAAAGTGGTTTTCTCATAATAGATACTATCGGTTTACAGTCAGATTCGACAACCGTGCGCCGTCCGTAAATATAATGCTTAAATCTAGTGCATCCAAATAATATTGCCAGCATCTCTTTTTCTATTTGTGCGTATCCTGTCTCGGTCAATGTCAGTGTTTTTGAAGCGTATGCAATTGGTTTACCATTTTGTAAACAACAAACACCAAGACCTTTGGACGAAGCATCCAATTGTAATCTAACAGGCTTCGATGAATCATAGTAACTGAGGACAGGTGCTTGTGTAATTACTTGTTTAACCTTGTCAAAAGCGTCAGATTGGGCTGAATCCCATCTGAACTCTACGTCATTGCGTAATAACTCTCGCATCGGGCTAGTTATCTCCGAGAGATTTTGAGAGATTTTGAGAATTTTGTCAAGTATGTAATCATACCCAGCAGGGTTTCAAGCTCAGCACGATTTGCAGGATTTTTCATTTCGATAATTGCGCTAATTTTCTCAGGGTCAGGTTTCAGTCCATCAACACTGATCACGCGACCGAAATATTTAACCTCCGTTAGACCTATTTTCAGTTTGTCAGGGTTAAATCGTAAACCGGCTGCCTTTGCTCGGTCGAGTACGTTCTTTAGGTTTCCGTCATGTTCTGTGCGTGTGCTTCCAAACACTAATAAGTCGTCAATTATTGACGTCACACCCTGTAAACCTTCAAATGTCTCGTCAATTTTCCGTTGGAAAATGTCTTGAGAACTTCTTATGCCCATAGGAAGTCTTAAATATTTGTACCGTCCAAATACCGTGTTAAATGTCGTTAGTGACGATGAGTGGTCGTCTAATTTAATTGACCAGTAACCTTTGGTCGCGTCTAATACACTGAAGTATTTAGCGCCATGCAATTTTGACGTAATGTCGTCAATAGTACGTAATGGATAATACGGCCTTTGTATATTTTCATTCAATGCTTTTGGGTCAAGACAGATTCTAAGCTTACCGGTTGAAGGTTTTTCAACACATACTAGTGAATTTACCCAGTTTGTAGGTTCTGTAACCTTACAAATAATTTGTTTTGACTCCATTGAGTCGAGCTCTTTTTTAAGCTTATCTCTGAGTCCAAAAGGTACTTTTCTAGGTGGACAAACAACTGGTACAGCATTTTCCTTCAAATGCAATGAACATGTTCCAGGAAATAACCCTATCCCATGAAACAATTCTTTGTACTCTCTAAGTACAGTGTCCTTACTAAGGTCAGATGCGTCAATAGATTCAATCTTATTGACCGAATACGTTAATCTTAACAGATCTAAATCTATAGATGTTTTGAGGCTTAACAGCGGGGTAGCAGAACTCTCAACTACATAAAATTCGGAACACACTGATTTGTTATTGTATTTACAGTGTAACCATAATTTTCCAAGCACTGGTAATCTGTCACCTGTGTACGAAGTTAACCTTGCTTTGGAGGCTTCCAAAGGGTGTTTTATTTTCAGTTGCCTAAATATGTGATTTGGGAGGCAATTTATTTGTGAACCTGTATCAATTTTGCAATTAATATTGGTAAACTTATCTTGTGTGCCAATCAAAACATTTACAAAAACTTGATCAGGAGAAGATGAAAAAGAATTTACCGTGTGAACAAAGAATTCTTGGCCATTCTCGCCGTCAGATTCGCACACGTAATCCACAGTGTCACCTTCATAATGTAACTCGTGCACAGATTTAAATTTACATTGTTTTGAAAAATGATTTAATCGTCCACATTTGAAACATGTTTGTCCCTGTGCTGGACATTCACTAGAATTGAAATGTTTATTTCCACATCTGTCACATTTTTTTCTATAATCTTCAAATCGTTGTTGTCGTCGTGGTTGTTGCTGCTGATGAGGTGGCATCTTCCGGTCTCTCTGGTGTGCATCTCTTCCGTTGCCTCGTCTCCAATGTCGATTTATCGCATCAACAGACTGTTGAGATGTCGTAGATCCGCTAGCGATTGCTTGTGCCTGAGACTGACTCAATTCGTACGTATGAGCAACATCTACGCATTTTTCAAGTGTTAGATCTGAGCCTTCCACAATCAGTTTTTCTCTGACTTTGCTAGATCTTACTCCAAAAACAATATGGTCGCGAATAAGATCTTGCTGCATGCCCACAGGATAATCACAATCTTTGATAAGCGTTTTCAGTTTTGTAACGAATTGTTCAAACGGTTCGTTTTCCTGTTGAGCTCTTGATTTAAAAAGATATCTGTTGTATATAATGTTACTTTTTGGTTTGCAATATTCTTCGAATTTATCATAATATGATTTAAGTTTCTTTCTCTGATCGTTTGATAAGTCCCATGTGGAGTATATTTGTCGGCCCTTTTCACCGACCCATAACATCAAATAGTTACATTGAATTTCTTCCGTTTTACTTGCCAACGGCCCTTAATTTAAACATGAATTCTGAATGTTCTTTGAATCTCTTAAACGCACTGTTTAAGTCCTTCGAATCCCAGTCCATACGCGGATTTTGTTGGTGATTATTTTCCATATTTCTCATAACTCCGTTATAAACATACAATTATAAAGCGTATTACTGCAAAAATTATAATCCGTTAACTTCTGACACCATGTTGTATTATGGGTATATTTATTAATATGTACACAGAGCGTGCACTTGTAATATATAACACAGACACGTGTTACTAGTTCTATCGTTTAATGATAACTGAATATTCCAAGTATATAAGTGGCGGGAAGATAATGGACATGCGCATTACAGTATAAGATATTATTAAGATGAAACA